GCAAATGGTGATTCCCGTACTTTTGCCGACCGCTGGACAAGGTCATTCTGCCGAGCCGTTGGCTCGACTTTCGAATTGAAATACTCGGCTTTTGCGTGAATTGCCGCTTGTTTCATCAGCTCATCGTATGTACGCCAATTGTTGCTATGTACTAGATACCGAAAGTGCGAGGACCGAAGGCCACTCTTAAAGGCGTCGTAGGCTGCCCTGTCATCGGTATCTGGGCATCTTGAGTACTCATGGCTGAAGCTTGCGGCATACTTGCGCAGAGGCTCGTCGTCTCTTTGCCGAATGGTGTACAGGTCATCGGCAGAGTACAGTCTATCCGTTTGAATCATGAAATGGTTCAGGAAGATCTGCTTCAGCTCATCGAAGGAATCGATCGTCCCTGGTTTCAAACGGTGAAACCAATTCAAGGCTGCCTCTGTGAGAGAAGACGGGAACAGCAGGCACTGCCCCTCGTCGCTTAGCCCTCGGCACCCCACAGTAGATTGGAAAGAGTGAAGGTGCGTCAGAGGATCCTCTGTGCCTGTGTAGGATGATATGCATAGGGGATGTACATCTCTGTTCTGCTGTGAGCGCTTTATGCGCTCGGTGAAGGGTCCCGACCGGAGCTTTCCCCAATCAGGCTCTTGCGAACGGGTCTTGTCGTCCTCTATCTTCTGCATCCTCTGTAGGAGGAGGCGAATAATCGGGTCCTGGCTTGGGATTTCCTCTGTGGTCTGATATTCCGATCGTGGTGGGAACCCGACCGGGTTGACCTCAGAGTGCCTCGTTGGCGTTGCCGAACAGTAAGTTGATTCCCGATAAGTGGATGGGGCGTATTCGTGATCGGACTCTGCCGATGATTCCAAGACTTGTATCCTCCGTATGGGTGATTTCCTCCCTAGGTTTCTCAGTCGGGGATCGTCTAGGTGAGCATTTATCCTGACTGGTGATCCTTGTCGTTCGGTTTGCCGTTCGGCTTCTCGATCCAACAACTTATGGCAGCAATCGGAATAGACTTTCTTCGGCACATGGGGCCTATCTTTCGGTGCCGGGACTACCAGCCGTTTGGAGGGCGCAGGCGTTGCCTTAGCCCCCTTTTTACCCTTCTTCTGCTGATGGGGAGTATGTAGGCTCTGCGGCGATCGGTCAGTCTGGATATTCTGTGTTTGCTGCTGGTTAAGCAACTGTTGTGTTTCGTCCACTTTAGACGAGAGGAGTTTGTTGTGTTCCTGTAACTTAGCCATGTCCTACCGGAGAGACGTGACTTGCGCTAGGAGCTCTGCTTCGGCAGCGGCTCGTAGTACAGGGGGGTTGCTTGCCGGTGTGTATGGGGGCGGTGCTGGGCTAGCTCTGCCTGGCATGCCGAACGGCAATCCCTCCTGTGGTAAGAACATAGTTTTCGAAGTGGTCCCCATTTTGTAGGGATAAAGGGTCGATTGTTTATCGATTCCCACAAACGGCGCCAAACTGTTGACGCCAAAAAGTGGTTCGGGACTTTAAGGGTCAACTTAGTGATTTTATGCCTTCGGTATCCTGATGCCTTGGTAGGGAGCGTGATCTGCAATATGAGAAAAATGCTTGGTAAGACCTAAGGCACCGGTGTGGTACCGGCCGAAAGCTTTCTGATGCTTAAGTAAGTTCGGATTTAGAAAGATTAACTGACAGATTAATTAGGCAGTATGCCGATCGTTCTGATTACCTCTATTTTGGGGTAGGTGGCCTCCTTTATAGGCCTTAGGAGGTGTGCACTTTGTTGATAATTTCGATGTGGGACTGTGGACGTCGATTGTGAGCATGCCACGTGTCTCAGTAGAGAGTGTTGCCCTAATGGAGCGATCGATAGTTAGGGTGCCGAAGGCTTCCCAGACCGGGCTCGATTTCTTCCACGCGTCCTATTCTTATTGGCTATTCATTTTGGGTATAAACAAGAACAATTAAAGATGAAGACTTTTTGCAAACCCAAACAGGTTATTGGCATGGGATTGCCATTGAAAAACAAACCAAACCCATCCCCAAACCAAAACCCAGCCATCACCAAATCCTCTAAACAGGTTATTATTTGATTTATTTGCAGAAATTGATATCGATATCGAGATGGTGGAAGACACCCCTCCTACCCAGCCGCTCCAACATCACTGTCACGTTCACGCCACCATCTAGTTATGAAGTTCTTTGGCCGCCACTAGATCCGACG